ATCGTTCATAATAATTATACAATTAAGTAGTAAAATATTTATTAATTATTTTAAAAAATATATATTATTTATTGTACAAACAAATTAATAACTTATAAATAATAAATAATATAATTTTATTTATTTTTATTATAAAAAATTTATTTGTTGTTATTATATGAGAACTATATTTAAAATTTAATCTTAGGTTTATAAAATTACAAGTAAAGCATTAACATGGGAAATAATCAAATGGTGAAAAACAAACTTGTTGATAATTTGAAGTGCAAGTCAATATTGGACTTTGGAGGTAAGACTTCATCATTTGAGTTTGTAAGTCAACAACAATAATTATGATATTCAATCTCCAAGGTTTAGTTCATAGTCTTTCATGTAATCAAAAGTCTACATATAGCTTAAAATTTAAGCTTTTAGTATTAAATTATATTTTATGGATTTATTTATAAATTTAAATAAATAATTTTATATTTTATTATACTATAAAAAAAAATATTGTTGGTACACATAAAATTAACTCAAAAATATTTTAATAGCTAATTTAAATAATGGGATATTTTATTTTTCCAAAAGGTAAATTATACTCTCATTTTTTTAGATTTTATTTTAATTTATTATGCCAATAAATAAATTAGAGTGTTATAAGCTTAGCTACAAAAATTAGAGAATGATAGTTAATTGACATTATTTAAAAAGTGTGCAAAATTTTTATGATCTAAGTCACGAATAATTTTAATTTTAATAATTATAGATTTAAATTTATACAATAATTTTATTTCAATTCATAAATTTTAATTATTTAGTACGTCCACAATATTTATTTATTTATTTATTTATTTGGTTTGTAATTAAACTGATTTTATATACTTGTGTAATCACTTGTTAAAAAATGAATAATAAAGTATTTAATTTAGATTAAATATAAATTTTTAATTTAATCCCCACAAAATAATTTTCTTGAACTTAGGTATATAATGGTTCATTAATTTCATCATTATTAGTTTATACTACATTAAATAAATTAATCAATTTTATATCTTCAATAATATTTGAATTTGTAATTTTTTTAAAAAGAAAAATATAAATATTTCAGTCGTTAAGACCATTATAACAATGATATAAAAAAACATATTGTTAATATTATTGTAAGGTATTGCCATTAATAATTATATTATTAGTACTATATTAATAATTATATTATTATTCTATTATGGAAGAGAAGTGATCTCAACACGTATTGTCCCCCATTTTACAAGAAAGTCAAAGTCAACTTCCCTCTCAAGTATTCTTCTCCCCACGAAAAGACAAACACCCAATCAATCAATCACTCTCTACCCAATCAATCAATTACTCTCTCTCTCTCTCTCTCTCTCTCTCCATATCCAAACATCCAAAAAAATCCAGTTTTCTCCCAGTCACAACTAGCTGACTGTTTATTTTCCATTCAAACAACCCAAACACGGCCTTACGTACCACATCCAATATGGGTGCACCAACCCAGTCCCTTTTCACCTGTAAAACACCACACTCTATTTGTACAACTTCATATAAGTGGAGCAGGTACGCCCCCTGGTCCCCCCACACTTGCACAAAAACATACAGTGACGATTTCTAGTGTTCGTGATCATCATTCGTCGCTGAAATTGTAGAAGCAAGAACTGTATTTATGGTCCTCTTATCTCCCTAATTTTTCTGTTGTCTGAACTATCTTCAATGGCTGCCATTGCTAGTGTTTCTCGGATACGTGCCGCCGTGATTCTTCTCCTTTTTACTTTGCTACAGTCTCTTTATCTTCTAGCTTTTGCTTCTACCAATGTGGGTCTTTTTTCTTCGATTTTGTTTTCTTTGGTTTCGGGAGTTTCTGTTTGCTGGCTTTTTTACATGGGTTTGTTTTTGTTTGTTTTTTGGGGGTGGGGGGGTTCTGGGTCCTCTTCTTGTTCTTGCCAGGTTCACATTGTGTATATGGGGGAGAGAGCCTATGATGAGCCTGAGCTGGTTCAAGACTTGCACCATGGGATTCTCAGTGATGTTCTTGGAAGGTCTGGTCCTGCTCTTTTCTGTCTCTGCACTAATTCATATGTTTGGTGTTAATAATCTTTTTTTCCTGTATATTCAGTTTTGGGTATGTAGAGCTGTTGAAAATGTCCGTGACTGAGAAGTGGGAGTAATTAATTTACATCCAGTCTTGTAGGATTAAATGGATTAGAAATTGGGAGGCCTTGAATGTTCAAACTCTTGGATTCTATCATTTATTGCCATGTTAACAACAAATTTAATTAAAAGGCTTTGAGTATTCAAACCTTAGAACTTTTACGCTCTGGGACCATGTTATTTAATAAGCTATGACCACTACTCTGAAAAGCTTAACCAGATTGAAGAAGACAAAATCTATTATTTATGCATTGGTAGTGTAATATATTGAGTTATTTTCCATCAGTTTAAACATTTGAGGAAATTGATTCAACTCTCTTATTTAATATACTATTAGAGCCAGCACTTTAGTATTTAAATCTGAGTGTCACTCCATTTTTCTTTATTAGTTTCAACATAAGGTGGGGAATTATAATGTTTGTAGCAACTTTTAGCTATTGCAAGGGAAGTAACAGCCTGAAATCTTTTCTTGACAGCAAAGAAGCTGCCAAGACATCGATTCTATACAGTTACAAGCATGGATTTTCCGGGTTTGCTGCAGTCTTGACTCATTCTCAAGCCAAACTAATAGCAGGTGTTATAATGTTGGTGAAATATAAACTCTAATTTTCTAGTTTCATTCATGTGTTCCAACAAATCTTTTGACCATGTTTGCTGGTGTATGAATGCAGGTTACCATGGAGTTGTCCGGGTTGTTCCCAATAGAATCCTTAGTTTACACACAACTAGAAGTTGGGATTTCTTGAAAGTAAAACCTCAGATGGTGGATGGGATTCTTTCAAAAAGTCATTCTGGCATTGGATCTATCATTGGTGTCATGGATACTGGTCAGTGAAAGATATGTCATTAACTTACTGTCTAGTGAATTCTAATCAACTGTATTCTTTTAATAAACTTGACTTTAATGAACCTCTTTGTTACATTTTGTTGTCCAGGCATATGGCCAGAATCTGAAAGCTTCAAAGATGAAGGTATGGATGAGGTTCCATCACATTGGAACGGTATATGCCAGGAAGGAGAAATGTTTAATCAATCAAACTGCAACAGGTTTGCCATTATTTTCTCCTTTATCCCTTTATCGGGCTCCTCTGAATCCTTTCGTAATAGACCAATATCCTACGGCTGTACCCATAATATTAACTGAGAACTGATTTTGGACTGTAAATTCAATTGTAGTGTCCCGACTGGATTACATGATTAAGTTTACTTTGGTCTTGCTTCTGTTAGTCCCTATGGGTGCTACTAAATGAAAATGTTCACATTATTTTGTTGTCTGGGTTAAAAAAAATATGGGTGTTGCTGCTGGATTTGATTTGAGTTATATTCCATCAATGACTCGAGAGCTGTTAGAATTCCATTTTCACAGTCATTGTGATTTCAATTCTGGATACTCTTTAGCTGCTAAGTTTTCTGTCATTTAGTGTTTACTAGAGAACTTAATTTCACTTCAAAGTTTTGAAGTTCTATACTATGCAATACACTATAATTCTGCTATGATAGAATAGCGAATTCAGGGAAGGTGCATTTAAAAGTAAAACTTGATTTTCTGTAACATATTCAAATGAGTATAAAGATGTTTTTTCCTGACTGCTATTATCTCAATGTAGCGAAATTTAAGAATGAAGTAGCATTTGATGCGGGCTACCTTACAGGAAACTTATTGGGGCACGATGGTACATCAAAGGATACGAAGCAGAATATGGAAAGCTAAATACTAGTGATGAGGTTGAATTCCTATCTCCACGAGATGCTGTAGGGCATGGGACTCATACATCATCAACTGCAGCTGGTGCTTTAGTGAAAAATGCAAACTCAATTGGGCTAGCTCAAGGATTGGCAAGAGGGGGTGCTCCATTGGCTAGGATAGCCATGTATAAAGTTTGTTGGGCTACGGGTGGCTGTAGCTCAGCTGATCTTCTTGCTGCATTTGATGATGCAATATCTGATGGTGTGGATGTTATTTCAGTATCTCTTGGCTCACCACCTCCACTTCCTTCTTATGTTGACGATGCTTTAGCTATTGGTTCTTTCCATGCGATAGCTAGAGGAATATCTGTCGTATGCTCTGGTGGTAATGCCGGTCCTTATCCTCAAACTGTTATAAATACTGCTCCATGGATTCTTGATGTGGCAGCAAGCACTATCGATAGAGCTTTCCCAACTGTCATTACCTTAGGAAACAATCAAACTCTTGTGGTAATCCTATTTCTTTTCTCATCATGATAAATTTCTGAAATGTTTTCCATGTGACACTATGTGCTTTCTATTAAGTTGAATAAGAGATTTTGAGTTACAAATGATTGCCTAAGGTTATTTCTATTGGGATAATCGTACAAGTCAAATTCTGCAAAGCATTACATTTCAAGTTTGCTGCTCAATAAGCCATTTGATAAGACTGGGGCCATTATTACTCTTCTATGTGGTGTTTAAACATGTTCTTACTTTCAAGATATTGAGAACCTATTTGCTTCATACTAGAATTGGATTCAATCAACATCTAAATGCATTACTCTCTACTGTATAGTATAGAAGTACTTTTATTTTTTTGAACAGGGTCAGGCTTTTTATACAAGGAAGAAGGCCAGTGAGTTTCAACCTATTGTTCCAGGAGATGAAATTGCAGCCGCCGATGCAGATGAAGACAGTGCAAGGTCAGCTTATTAACTGTTATTGATGCAAAGACCATGCGATAGCATGCATGCTCATTTTCACATTATCAACTTTTTACAGAAGTTGCGATTTGGGAACCCTGAATCCCACTTTAGCTAGAGGAAAAGTTGTTCTGTGTTTCCAATCTCGGTCACAAAGGTCAGCTACAATTGCTGGAATAAGTGTACGAAATGCACTGGGTTCTGGTGTCATCTTTGCACAGTCTCCAACTAAGGATGTTACTTATCCCCGGGGTATCCCCTCCGTCTTTGTGGACTTAACAGTTGGGACATCCATTCTTAATTACATAGAATCGAGCAGGTAATCTTCTGAATCTACTTATAAAGAAGCTTCAGATTCTTGAAACATAGGGTTTACCATGAACAAAAATTTTAATATTATGACTGATACTTATAATCTTATGGCCTGTATTTGATCTATATGTTCAACCTAGCAGGCTGCATGGTAGTGGATTTGTTGAAGTGTAAATAATATAAATTAACCCTTTAGTATTAGCTTAAGCTTTGGTCATGATGAATTATTACATTCGATTATTTTGTTAAGTAGGGCTCCTATGGTAAAATTTAACCATACAAAAACAACAATTGGACAACAAATAGCCCCGGAAGTAGCATATTTTTCTTCCCGAGGACCCAGTTCGCTCTCTCCTTCTGTATTAAAGGTATTCGTCCCACTTTTAGAAGCAATTGGTGCTGTAATTTTTTAATTTATGAACCTTAATGTGCAATGCAGCCTTCTGTGTTAAAGGTATTCACCCCGATTTTAGTAAGCAATTGGTGACGTAATCTTTTGATTTATGAACTTTAATGTGCAATGCAGCCGGATATTGCTGCTCCTGGTGTTAACATCTTGGCCTCCTGGTCCCCTGCTTCTTCTCTTGAGTCACCCGGAAATAATCAAAACAAATTACCTCCACTCAACTTCAAACTTGAATCTGGAACATCAATGGCTTGTCCACATATATCTGGTGTTGTGGCTCTTCTCAGAGCTGTCCACCCGACTTGGAGCCCTGCAGCAATCAAGTCTGCGCTGGTCACAACAGGTGACAATTGAGAAACATAAAAACCTCATTGCAGTTTGGTTTCTCCCATAACTTGGTTGATAATCAAATCAGCTGATTTCATTTCTGGCTTATTTCAGCGTCTGTAACTGATGAATATGGTCAAAGCATTATAGCTGAAGGAGCTCCTCATAAGAAGGCCGACCCATTTGACTACGGAGCTGGTCACGTTAATCCTAACAAAGCCATGGATCCTGGTCTTGTATACGATGCCAACGTTGCAGATTATATCCGATTTCTTTGCTCATTAGGGTATAACAACACTGCAATTAGCTTGATGACCAAGATAAGGACATCATGCCACGCATCCACCAAGTTCCTTATGAATCTGAATCTGCCTTCTATCACCATTCCTGAACTTAAGCATAAGGTGACTGTATCAAGAACGGTAACAAATGTTGGTCCGGTAAACTCTGTTTATAGATCTCTTATTGAAGCTCCCGCTGGGTCGTTTGTGACCATAGAGCCCTCGATTTTGTCATTCAATTCTACAACGAAGAAGCAGAAGTTTAAGGTAACCTTCATTTCCCAGCTTAGAGTTCAAGGAAGATACTCATTTGGATATCTGATTTGGGAAGATGGCGTTCATGTGGTGAGGATTCCTTTAATAGTTAGGACTGTAATTCACTATTCTTACTCGGATACTTGATTTAAATCCCGCAAACATTATCTTTTTATACCAATAATTTAAGCATCGAAGTATTCATCATTCCTGTCTACTTTGCTTTCTTCATAACTCACCGTAGAGAAGTGCTTGATCAACGTACTTTCCGATTATCTCCAAAGGAAAAAAAAATAGTTGGTTGCTGCTATTAAAGTCGGTTAAATAAATTCAGTATATATTTTTTATTAAAATTTTATTTAACGTGAATTATATATGATTTAAGAATCTGATAGATTATAAATCTCATATATATATAAAAACTTTATCTATCATTTACGAAGATAATAAGTCACGAATCTCATTTATATAGATTGTAACTATCATTTAGGATGAACGAATCAACATATTTTTTAGTTTGATAGATATTCTATACAGTCCTCTATATATTATATATATGTACCTCATACTTTTTAAGTGGGATAAAGCATTTAGTGGGTATTGACTTTGAATTTGAGAAGCTATAAAAGAAAACAGTGGAAGGCAGGTTGGCTATATGTATGATGCTTGAGTGAAAGTGTCCATATCCTGGTGTTGTGATCTGTGTAGACTTTGCTTATCAGACATCTAACATGATCAAGTGTTGAAAACCTAATTTAATCATATGATAGAACAAGAGGAAATTTACCAAGAGGGAAGTCAAGTCATTTCATATTTGCTGGTAGGTCCCCCAATTTTTAAAATGTTTGGCAATCTGTAATTTTCTCTCCAAATTATTACGTCTTAAAATTTTGTTTTTTTAAAAATAAAAAATAAAAAATCATGAATTTAAATTAGATATATAATTGAAAACAGTAACTCCATTTTTTAAATTTTTTTTGAATTTAAAAAATATGAAAATAAATAATATAAACCACAATAAACATTTTTTTTATTAAAAAAAAAAAGAAATTAATTTAGTCAAATTGAATATATGCACGCAAAGTAGTGTAGCCTGCAGAAATATTTGAAGATTTTGGTAACTTACCAGTCAAATAAATTTAGTTAATTAGTTCTGGAATTGGTCACTTCAAACAATTATCAGAAAATGGAATTAGTTGATTTTTAAAAGTCAGACACAACAGTTTATGTAAATAATTAAATAAAACTATATTTACCATTATTATTTTTATATTAATCAGGCAAGACTGATTTGATACTATTAACAAATTATATTTTTATTTTAAATATATTTTTTAATCAGTTATAATTTTTTAATAAAATTTGTTAAAATTTAAATAAATTAAAATATTAATTATTTTAAAAATGAATAGAAATAGTATTCCCGTGGAATTTGACAGTAATAGTCAATGGTTTGTTTGAAAATGACACTGTGTGTGTGTGTGTGTATATATGTATGTATATCCTAATAGGTCATGTGATTTCAGTTCACTGTGGAAATATATTGTACTTGCTTATAATAAATTGTAAATCACATAAATTCCGTGAAAGCATGTGCTTTAAATAATTATATTATTTGATAATGACTCGATCAACGTCCAATAAATTACTTTAAAATAATTAAATTGAATTTAAAATTAATTTTTTAATAATTTAAATTCAAATAAATTATCTCAACCTTATTTTTTTTTTTTAATTTATTCAAAAAAATTATAAACCAAGCTTAAATTCACTAATTTTAATTGTAAAGTGATTTTTTGGAAATTACTTTTCTGATTATATTATTTTTTAAAAAATAAATTCAATTAAAGTGAATTTTGAATAATTTTATTATTATTATTATCATCTATTTATTTAATTAGGCGCAGTTTGAAACTTTAGTAGTTAGCAAATCTACGAAGCAGTGGGGAATGTTCATGCATGGAATCCTCATGCTATCAACGTTGACAAGCGAGCGCGCACATGATTTGTTTGAAGTGATAAACATGGGGACATTGCCATGCACGTGACTGCAC